GAGAAGAGAAGAGAAGAGAAGAGAAGAGAAGAGAAGAGAAGAGAAGAGAAGAGAAGAGAAGAGAAGAGAAGAGAAGAGAAGAGAAGAGAAGAGAAACAAAAGAAAGAACACATAGAAACAAATTCAATCCAACATAAGAAACGTTTTTATAATTTTTTTTTTTTTAACTTTATAACTTCTTTTTCCTTTTCTTCCATTTATTTCTACCTCAAATTTTAAAATAAATTCTTTCACCCTTTAACTTTTCAATGTCTAGCAATATATTCTTTTCTATTTTTTTAGGGGGTTTCTATTTAAATTTTTTAAAAGCTTTTATTAGATAGGATAGATGTATTTTTATCGCAAAAGGATTTCTATCTTTCTACTACCGAGAAAACGTGTAATATTTTAGTTAATTTTTATTTTTTTTTGGTTAATTATTTCATTACATCCCAAGCGAATAAGAATAGGAATTAGAAACTAAAGAGAGAAGTATTTTTTTTTGTTTTTATTTTTTTTTTTTCGTTTCGACATTTTTCCCATTCAATGCGAATAAAACCTTTCTCTGTATATACTATACCATAATCGCGTAGATCTCGTGTGAGAGGAAGGTTTGCGTTAAAAGCGTAGAAAATACCTTATAAAATATGTTTATGTGTTGAAGAGTAGAAGAGGAAAAGAGAATCAGAAAAAGTGTGTGTGAGAGAGAGAGAGAGAGAGAGAGAGAGAGAGAGAGAGCAATGACGGTTCGTTTACCGGTGAAGCTGTTTTAACGAAACAGTTTAATTCCGCTGTTCGTTTGTCGTTTCGAAACGTTGCTAACTAAAGCAAATGAGAGAGAGAGAGAGAGAGAGAGAGAGAGAGAGAGAGGAAGAGGGAGATAGAAGGGGGATGTTCTGCACGAGATTTCTGCTAATACGAGAAAATTAGTATTTTCGACGCTTCTCCTTTTTTCTTCTTCTCTTTTTAAATTTTTTTTTACATTTTTTTTTATTACCTCCTTCAAAATCAAGAATACGAATGAAAGAGCGAGTCTACTAAATATTTCGTTTTTTAACGAATAAAAAATTCAACGAATAGACAAAAGAAAGAGAGAGATAGAGAGAGAGAGAGAGAGAGAGAGAGAGAGAAATCGTATAATTAGTTCTACTTAAGCGATTTCATTTTATAAGAGAAAAACGAAAGACGTTAAAATTTTCGAGAATCACCGGAATGGAATTTCATGCCGACCGGGGGCAACCAACGAACCAACCAACGAGCCAACCAACCAACCAACCAACCAACCAACCAAACAGTCCTTTCCTCAACAGGTTTGCACGAGGATTACCGATTAAATGGACGGTTAGTACGGATAGGATTAACCTCTTAGGAAGACAAATTCATTTTGAAATCTTAATTAATCGGAAGTTGAAGAAAGGGACAACTACCGGAAAGGACGGAAATAAGGATGGATGGGATGGATCGAATAGTTTTTTGATACGAATTTTATTTTATTCAATCTAATAATGAAGAATCAGAGAGAAATCGGAGAAAATTCAAAGGACAAATTGTTTCGGCAAACTATACCTTATCTCATTAGATCATTAAATTTGATTTGATTGATTAAACTAATCTGAAGAATATTGAAATTTTTCTGAGATTTGAAAAAAAAAAAATAAAGGAAGAAAAAGAAGAAAGATCGTTTAACGTAATCGACGGAGAATACGATTGAAGTTAATTTTATGTTTTCTTTTTATTTGTATATGTGTGGGACGAATGAAAAATATTTGCGGGATCTTGAGTTTTCGAAATAACGAAAATTAAATTGTTTCCTTAACCATAACAAATATATGATACTTAAATAATATCTATTACGTAAATTCTTCATAACTAGATTTGGAATTCTTCGATTTTACTTATCCTACATAAAAAATAAACAAAAAAAATCATTTAATACAATTACAATTTATTTCTCGATACGAAAATTTCGTATAAATTGTATACGAATTTCTCCAATAGTGTTTCTCACGTAGAAATAATTTTTCTGTAAGATTTAATCCTATACCAATACTAGCATTACCATTCATTCAAAGTTTCCCGTATGAACGACTAACCCACCGACCCATATAAGAGTCCTACCAAGTATGACAATGGAGTAAAGAAAGATTTAAATTTTATACGTCTCCGATTAACACGTTTCCTGCCAAGCCTATTTTTGTCCAATTTGTACAAGGCCATTTAATGTTTTGACTAAAAATTGGTATATTATTAAATAATATTGTATTACGATTAAACAAATTAACGTGCTTCGTTCTATACTGCATTTTTTACAATGCCTTATCATTTTGATGAAAATATATTTTATAGAATCAAATTTGTCATAAACCGTATGTTTTCAGCGCATTAAATGAATATGTCTTAGTATACCATTTATGGTACACGTGGCATGGGACGTGTTAAGATCTTAAAGAAATTAAATTACATTAAAAAGAAATAAATATGATATTTAAAAAAAAAACTTACCTATCATAAAGGCAGCTTTGAAGGTTGTCCTCTTTGCTCTGTATGTAAGGGGCCTTGTTACCGAGAAGTATCTATCGAAGCTGATGATTAGAAGATTGAGTACGGACGCGTTGCTAGCTAAATAATCGAGTGCCAGCCACGTGTCGCAAACGTGGGGACCCAATGGCCAATAGCCTAACACGGTGTAAACCGTGAAAAGTGGCATCGAAATGAGACCTATTGCAAAGTCGGCTACCGCAAGACTGAATAAAAAGTAATTAGATATCGTTTGCAGTTGTTTGTCGATTTTAAACGATATCATAACCATAATATTGCCGACAACCGTAACGAAACTGAGAACGATCGCTACCATCACTATCCCAACTCTTTCCCATATCCCATACTGATACGGTTCACCACCGCAATCTAGACCGTTGCTAGAGTTGTAGCTGTCGTTGCTGGGTATTTCCTGCGCCCAAGTTATATTCATGTCTGTTGGACTCTCCCGCACGAGCTCTATGTCACTCGTGGACGCGCATCAACCTTCAACAAAATCGATTTTCTTTTACTCCCATTTGTCTTCCTTTTATATATATATATATATATGTATATACATATGTGTTACCGCGAAAGAACGAAATTGGAGAATGTGAAGATTCACATGATCACATGATGTATGATAGAAATATTAATGTGTATTAATATTATACTAACGTATTTAGTATGTGGTAACAGGTAACCATGTGAATCTTGACATTCTCCAATTTCGGTCTTTCATGATAATATATATACTATATATGTTATGGTTAATGTTGAGAATTCAATGCCTCGGGCATTCTCAAATATAGCCACGAAGATTAGGCAATGTATACTCTTTGTATATTATAATATATAAAATATTATTTATATATTACGTATACATATATATATATATATAATGTATATTACCCGGACATGTAACAAAATATGCTTCAGTGAGGTGTATTTAAAGCATAAAGGTAGATAGAGGTTGGGCAAAATGATTTTAACAATGCTCGGATTCTCAACATTGACCGTAACATATATATATATATATATAAAGAAATCCTTTATTGTGGTTTTATCAGCTAAGTATGTGTAAGAAGCGTTTAATGTACGTGTATTAGGAATCATTTGGACAATAATTTAATGATAAAACATAAACGAAAACGATCGTGATAATGAATATTGTAATAAAACATTTTAAAGGAAGATTAACCCTTTCATTATTATCGTTCATGTAAAGATCCGTATGTACTGGTGCCAAGACATCCCCTAATGAAAAGGTTAATAATTACAGAAACAAATCATTATAATTCGATTAGGTAATTCAAATCTATAGCAAGTTATCTTTATTTGGTATTTCTTTTTAAGTGTAGTGTATTTTAAACGAGGTAATTTGAATAACTTACTATTTTTCTTTTTTTTCGTACAATAATTAATTATATTACAATATTGAAGTGAATTGAAATGATATATATTTTTTTTAATCAATAATCAATTAGATTTTTAATGAAATACGACGATTTCATGATAAGGATAGGATAAGTAGTGATTAAAGGTGAAAATTAGAAAAAAGAATCTTTCGTGCTCGTAAGTATTTTACTCTTTTAAAAGCACTCTAAAGTTTATTCGTACCGTCCCCCGAGTAGCTGTAAGGAGTTTAGAATTGACATTAAATTACGCGTTAAGTTCCATCGCACTATCTTTAAATTACAATAAAGTGTACTCCATCTAAAGGAAAAAAATCGGATTTTGATTTTCTCAAATTCACCAAAGTTATATTCATTTTTTCTATGCCTACTGAGAAAATACGATTGAAGCTCTTTTTGTTTTTTGTATTATAACACGAACAAGAGAAAAAAACAAATATATATATATATTTAACTACGATAATATCTAAATATTATAATAAAGAAAAAAAAGAAGAAAAAATAATAAATTATACAGATTGTCTCGTTTAATTTACACTTTAAACGAAACACAAACTCGAGCTTAAGCACAAGAGAGGGAGCGGGGGAAGAGTGGGTAGTGGTGGTTAGGGTGCAAACGGTAAATACGGCTCTCTTAATCCCAGAACAGAAAAAGAACAAATAAACACCGACTCGAGCTTACTACGAGACATAAAAAATAAATACGCCTCTCGTAAACACGTAGACTAGAGAAAAAGAAAAGAAAAGAAATAAAAATTTAAGATTCTATTATAAATGAAATAATACGAAGGTAAATAATAAGGATGAAAAGAAAAAAATGGAAAATTCACATATTGCAAATAGGCCAACGTACCTTTGATGTTCGATACTTGACACTCAAAGTTCTCCGTTGGCCAATAAGAAGCAACCACCACTCGCCGGTAGAGCAGTTCGATGTTCTTCAATTTTCTTACACCTTTTCTTCTTTTTCTTCTAATTCCTTCGGTTTCTTCTCTATCACTTTTCTTTAACCGTTCCTCGCTTCCTCTTTCTTTCTCTTTCACTCCGGCTGGATTCACTTTTTTCGAGATCCAGTTCGAGTCGTTGGCAAAGAGAAGGTAGCACGTTTTTACCCTCCAGTCTGCTGCCAAGCTTTATTCTCTACCTTTTCTTATAATAGTTTTTTTCTCTTTTTTTTTTATTCCTCTCCACCTTTCCAGCCAATCCTCCCTTCTTCCCTCGCGAGAGTCCAAGCTCTTATTATCATGCACGCATAAGCGCTAATTTTTTTTTTTCTACAACTTTTTCCTCCAACTACGTGGACCCTTTACCCACACACGCGCGCGTTTTTTTTTTATTTTTCTTCCTCGCGTTTATCTCGCACCTCTCTTCCTTTATTCTTTCTTTCTTTCTTTCTTTCTTACGATTTATTTTTTTCTTTTATATTTTACCTTACTCGTTTTTTCTTCTATTTTCTTTTTCTTTTTTCCTCTTTCTTTATATTCACGGTGTTTTACTTCTTTTGCCACTTTGACGAATATTGTCTTCCTCTCTCGAATTTGTCTCTAACTTTAACTATCTCTTTCTACCTTTCTTTCTCTTTCTCTTTCTCTCTCTCTCTTTCCCCCTTCCTCTCCCTTCCTTCCTCCCTCTCTCTCTCTCTTTCTCTCCGGCTGGAAAGGCAACAGGGGGTCAACTACATCCCACGATTTCTGGAAGTCTTCGTAGTAGCATCGAATCTATGATCAAACATGAACAATGTAATAGTTTAGTTATTCGTGTTTTGGGTTTAACGATTCTAATTGTAACAGAAACAGAGAGACAGAGGGAAAGAGATAGGGAGAGAGGGAAAGGGGAAAGAGGGGGGGGGGAGGAAGGAGTTACAAAAGGTAACTTGTATTCTCAAGCGATTTCAAGAACACGAACGATGCATAGTAGTCTAACGTTGAATATCGTCTGGCGTTAGTCCGTTGTCTACAGTAATTCGTGGTCTGTTCCACTTAAAATCGAGTGCCACTCTCTTGCCATTGTGGTTTTCAACGAGAGAAACGCTTAAGGGATCTCTCTATTTAAACAGTCTTTATATTCAAGATTTAAAAAGAAACTAACATAATTCTTTTTACGTTATTTTTAAATTTATTTGCTTGTGATATTAGCAGAGAATACTATTATTATTATTATTATTATTTTAAATTGATCGAATAAATTAAGGGGGTATATATACTTAGAGGCCCGAAAAAAACGCTTTTTTTACGATTTTTTTTTGGAAAACTGGTTTATTTATTTACTGACGAATAATCTGGAGTTCAATATATACATGTTTGAAGATATTACAATAATTTTTTTATGTAAAAATATTTAGACACAAGCGAGTTATAGCCAATCTGCGTGAGGTCATACTCATTACTGGATCATATAAAATAAAAAAAGTCAATGTAAATTATTAGTATTGATGTGTCTGAACAGATTGAACGATCGACTTTTCCAAAATATTAATTTTTTACAATATTGTGCACTTTTGAAAGTAAAGTTCCTATTTTTCACAAAAAATGCCTATTTATCGGCTAAAAAAAAAATATAATAATTAAAAATAAAAAACCGATCGCTCAATTTGTTCTCTATTATACTTTTAATAACTGATTAAAATTTGAAATCAATCGGTTAATCCTTTCGTGAGATTTCTTACTCACCGACTTTGAAAACGTGGTTTCGAGAAAAACGCGTTTAAACAGGAGATAAAATAAAGAAAGAACTACATAATAATTTTTATCCTCTACAATATCTCCATAAATAAAGGTCATATCTATATGAAATTTTGACAGAATACTTTCGAAATGATATACTTTTAGAAAATGCAATAAAAAAAAATTCGATTTTTTTTTTTTCTAAATGTATAATACCCCTTTAAGGGGACAAGAAAAAATCAATAATAGGTTAAACATTTTTTTTTGTAAATTTGTATTGTACTAACGAAAAACAGTAAACCAAGTTAAACACAGGACAGTGATTTTTTTTTATATAAATTCTAACACAATTGTAAAAATTCGTCAGAATTCTACACTGTGCGAGTAGTAATAGTCAATATTTTATCATTTTCAAGAAAATGGTGGAGAGAGAAGTTTCGCGTCCATTTTTATATACCCGTTGGTTTTATATTAAACGAAACAAATAATTATTTTACAGTTTAATTAAAATGAAATTACGGAAAAAGAATTGAAAAGTTTTGAACAATGATAGGCTGAAAAGTTTTATAAAATAACATGGTGGAAAACCATAAAACTCAAAACTATGTTCATCCGTCCATGTATATTTTTTCTAGAATTTATTTTTCTCGAATTAAAGTGTACAAAATTTATGCTTTTTCATCTAAAAGTAACCGTGTGTGTGTTATATAAGAATGTATGTGAAACTTCTCCCACATTGTTTTCTTTGAAACGGTTAAGTATTGGATCTTACTGTTTGCACAATGTATGATCCTGATGGACCCCTACAACTGTGTAGAATTTAAAAAATAAATCAGTGTCCTGTTAACTTGGTTCTTCTCAAACAATGTATAGATGAATTTGTTTGATTTTTCTTACCATTGATAAAATTCAATTGTCATTAATACTAAGTGTACGATGACCAATCAACTGAACACGTTCTGTAAATTGTCAAAAATTCGATAAGAATGCATAAAATGCATATTATTCATTTCTAAATAAAAAAAGGTATATGATTCACTATTCAATTGACAAAAATCTCATTCTATATGCAAATAAAATTTTTGGTTGATTGTTCACGGTAGAAATAGGTATATATTAAATCTCGTTACGTTTATTATTAAGAGTCAGATAAATTTAAATAAATAACTATATACATAGTATCACATATATATATATATAGTGAGTATTATAGTAAATACGTAGGTAGTAAATCTCACATTGGTGGAGTTAATTATCATAGTTTATGTAATGACACGCGGTAGCACGGTTTTGTCTTTTGTCATAACGAGTTTAGAAATGTCAATATCTCCACTCATTGAGAGAAAGAGATAAAGAGAGAGTGAGTCAATGAGAGTGAGAGAGACAGAGAAAAGGGTTTTAGTTTATGCGTGTTGCATAACGGCGAACAGCCGACGTTGCGGGAAATTAAATTACTTAAGTTCCACCGTTAGTTTTACACCACCAAAATCGCTTTAAAATCAGAGAAAGAGAAGCCGCTAGCTTTTAGCACAACTCTCTTTCTCTCTCTCTCTCTGTCTCTCTCTACCTGTGTATACACACGTGTCTCTCGGTGTATCTGTGTTTTAGTATTAGCATGTATACGTGTGGGTGTGGTATAGCTCTTACCTTTATTTCACAGCTACGAAAGTTCTTTTGAACTCGTCGTTTTAGATGGCTCTCACGTACCTTTTAATATTATCTACTTTCTCTCTCTCTCTCTCTCTCTCTCTCTCTTTCTCTCTGTGTGTGAATATTCGAGAATTGTGAAATAAAAGAAAGAAAAAAAAATTCTACATGGTGATCTTTTTTAATGAAAACTAGACTCGATAGAAAGGGTTAGCTTTGTTATGCTTATGTCGAGGATAACAACCGGTTCGATTTACAATTGTTAATGAAAAACCATCCTACCGATCCTTAAGAATATTCAATAAATCTATACATATTTAAGAAAATACGTTTGAGTATATTATGTATGTATTGTATGTGTATTAGGTTGCTCAAAATGTTCGTGGCGATTAATATTTTTCTCTAAATTTGCAAGAACACTTTTCGAATAATCTGATGATATTATATTGGATTGTTTGAAACATTTTTTGATCGATTTTTAAACAAATATTCATCGACATTAACGTTCCAAGCTTAGTTTCTTGTTTCTTTTTTTTTAATTATTTGATCAAGAATTAATTTCATAATTTTTCAGATTTATTTCATTGCAATAAATTTCGTTGTTCAAAGAATTCTTTGATATAAATAAATAAGTAAATATACTTGTGTCAGATTTTGAAACGGTTATAAATAACTTAATTAAATTCGACAATTTATTTGTGATTCTTATTGATGGAATAAATTGGTTGGAAAAAAAAGAGAGAAGTAAACGAATAACAAAGTAAAAACAAAACAAAAAGTTTGTCAGTTTGTCTGAAAACAAATACGAGTAGTTACGAATTGTATTTGATTTAGTTTTATTTCCGGGCGGTCAATTAAACGCGAAACGTATATAGTGCATTCTTGGGATTGTTTTGGAATAGAAAAATAAATAAGGTCAAAGAGTCATTTAAAGGGTGTAAATGGCACTTGGCGCACCGTCTATAACCAAACTGTGGAAGGTAAAAAAGGGGGTAGCCACTTGCCACAAGGACTTAACCCAAGCTTCCCCACGCAAACCACCCTAATCCTCCTGTTCTTCACCCCTTTCCTTTCATCATCCTTACTTTTCTCGACAGACCGTCTTCTTCGTCTCTCGCATATTCGCTTAGAAAGGCACACACATACACACGCACACACATACATACACATATATAACGAAAGAAAGAAAACGAGAGAGAAAGAGGGAGAGAGAGAGAAAAAAAAACACTTCAAACTCAAGCATACAGACACGTTTCCTATTTCAGTTTCTCCTTCTGTTTCTCTTTCTCTTTCTCTCTTTTTGTTCATTCTCTTTTTCTCTTTCTTTTACTGTTGCTATCTCCAGTCAAGCAAACCACGAAAAGTGCAGCCGACGCCGCGGGATATACACTTTATTTCCGTGGGGGTGGTTTTTGATTCTATCTCTCTCTCTCTTTCTTTTTCTTACTTACTCTTATTCTTACTCTTACTCAAACTTCATTTAGAATTACTCACATATCCTGCCTAATTTGTTCTTGATTTACGTCGAGCACAATTAGCGGCTAATTGTTCTTGTATTCTTTTTTCTTAATCTCCGTTTCTGATTTTTATTTGATTATTTTACAATAATTTGATTTTTTTCTAATCACGCGGAACATGTGATTTTTAAATTACTCAAAATATTTCAACCAAAAAAATTTGTTCAATGAGTTTCGATTTGTTTTGAAAAAAGAAAATAAAATTACAACGCTATGAAAATTATTTGAGTATGTAAGAAAAGTATTAACAAACACATTAATTTAGAAATAGTGTATAATCATTTGTTTTTTAAATTTGATTACTAAACAAACAAAMAAATTTTACGTTGAAAAGATAATCGAAAGTTAACGTTTTCGAATCGAAGAATGAACATTGTATTTTTTCTCAAATAAAAATAACTTTTATTCTATTCATTTATACCATGAAAGAAAGGTTCTCTCAATGTAATGCTTTTAACCATACATTCAATACTATCATGGGAATGCATTTGCAGCAGCACGTAACGTGCAATTAAGCGACTCAAAAAGAATCTTTCACACACATCAGATATGTACTTCATTAAATAT